CTGAAATAATTTCTTAATCTTTCTTCTGTTTTCTCACATTAACAAGTTCCTTGGCAGTAACATATGTTTAGAATTTCTATTGCATTTATCTTCAGAGACATCATCATAAATATACACAAAAGGACTCACATCTACCCACAAAGGTCCCAAACGTGTCCTGCTTCCTAAACTGCTCTTTTTGTCCCCAGGCTTTTCTGCCAGTTTGTGCCCCTCAATCTTTCTTAGAAAATACATTCATCTTGCTGCTCAACTGCTTAAATGTCTTCAAAAACTCCCTCTTCCTAGCACGCCAGATATGAATTCCTAATGCACAGCTCTTAAAGCCTCTCCCAAATCACCTAGGCTTAGGTTAGCAGGCCCCACACTGTCTCACAGATTTACAAGGCTCATTTTCACCTCCATGCCTTCATGACCGTCCCTCTGATAGGATGTCCCACACTTCTGTTACTCAAATCTCCACTATACCTAGTTCAAGTTCTACTTCCTTGTGAAACTTCTCTGACCACTCCTGATTTTGTTCAAATCAAGACAGATCTGATCATAACCGGTCTTGAACACTCATCTTCCAGATATCCCATGGTTCATTCCTGCTCTGCTTTCAGGTGTCTGTTCAAATACCATGTTAGCTGTTTGGCCTTCTCTGACCACTCTATTTAAAATGACAACACCCTCTTAGTCCCGCACTCCCAAACCTATTTGCCTGCTTTATTTTTATGTTTCTTCCTAACATTCATCACCATCTTGTATATTCTATAGTTACTTGTTTATTTGCTTATTGTCAGTGTCCCCCTGCCCTGAATGTAAGCTCCATGAGGGCAGGGAATTTTGTGTTTGTTCTGTTACTGGTTTATCTCCAGAGCCAGGAATATTTCCTGGCACATAGTAAATTCTCAATAAATATTGGCTGAATAAATAAATGAATCTTCCTCTCTTTGAAATTCAAAGGCCAGGGCCGGCCGAGTGGCGCGTCTGGGACGCCAGAGGACCCCAGTTCGGATCCCACATATGAGGGCCAGTGACACTGCCCTCTACAGCTAAGATGCTGAACAACAGCTCAACCTGGAGCTGGGCTGCCGAGAGTCGCCAGCAACGGTGTAGGCTGCAGCCCCTGTGGCAGTGGGTTGCCATGGGCTGCCATGTGTAGCCAGCAGCCAGCGTGAGCGGCCAGCAGCTGCAGTGAGCAGCCATCCAGAAGCCGGCGACTGATCTTCCTCGCCCGGGAAGAGCGCAATGATGGTGCCAACTTGGGCCAGTGAAGCAACATCCTCCATAACTAGACTGAAGAACAAAGGGACAGCAACTTGTCTGTTCCCCTTCCCCCAATTCCCCAGCACTGTTCCCATCCACCAATTCCGCAATAAAAATCTTTAAAAATAATAATAAATAAAATAAAATAAAATTCAAAGGCCATAGCATGCGCTATATCATTTAGCACTGAGTTGATTTAGGAATATGAATCTTGGTCTCTCTCACTGTATTTCCAAAACAAATACATATAATTGCTGATATCTTTCTATATTTTCCTCTCCTTCATTAATGCATTCTTTCATTAAACGTTCATTAAAAGTGTGTTGAGCACCTATTATATGTTACTAAATGCCAGGTCCTATTCTTTTAGCAAAAACTTCAAGAACTCAGTTACACATAAATACACACATACACAAGAAACAAGACTGAAAGAATAGTAAAAGGCGACTAGTAAAACTGAGAATGCCATACTAATTATGTGGGGACCGTGTGACAGACTGAGTGGATAGAAAAAGGAAAAAAGAGACAGAATGGTGAGAGACTAGAGTAAGATGTCACCAAAGTAATCACCAGACACTAGTGCTTAATATAAACTGTATGAAAGCAGATATGCAAATATATTTATTCAACATTAATTTTTAAAATTCACATTTCAAATGTTTCTGCCAGCTATCCTGCAGGTAAAAATTAAATTGAGACTAGCGACATCTGGTGGATATTTTGGAAGTGATCCTTGAGTTTCTCTACTCTGAAAACACTGTAAATGACCCTATGCCTCTGGACTGCCATTCATAATGTGTCAGGGCTTCACATTCCTAATTACACTATCATGAAATCAGGGTCTCCAGGGTCTCATTGCCAGAGGTAGCCATATTCCTACTAAGAACCCTTCTATCTCCCAACTAATGTCTCTCTACCTTCTGAAGGATGTATACAAAATCTAACACCACAATTCTTTTTAAAGTTACTTATTACTTAAAACATTCACATCCTTTGATGTAGGGATTTCACTTCTGGGACTCTACCCTAAGAAAAAGTGCCTTAAATGAGGAAATCAATTAATTATTTACAATGGGGAGACTGAATCCTAAAAGTCCAATAATAGAGGAAAGATCAAAATAATTACAGACATTATAATGTTTATCAAACATTTGTACCCATATTAAAACAAACATTTTAACAATTTCGTATTAACAAGCATTAATTTAAGAAAGCAAAAGTGAAAAAGTGTGTCCATATGACCTCAAATATGTAAATAATATACATAGAAAAAAGACTAGAAGAAAACATTCTAAAATATTAACAGTGATTGCTTCTGGATGAGAGAATTATGGGGGTTTTTTTTTAATCATGGTTTGCAATATTTCTCAAATGCCCTACAATTATTAATATGAATTGTTTCTATAAAAACATTATTTAAATCTTTTAAAAAAGATGTATGTTCTGATTAATTGCTAGAATTTTTCAACCTCTGCCTGGTTTTAATTCCTGATAAAGGTAATGAATCATGAGAGCTAGAATTTCCACGAGAAGGGGAAGCAAGAAAAAAAGCAAATATACAATTTTGTTTCAGGATCTGAGTCCTTATGGAAAAATCCCCCAACTGCAGAACTGTACTGAAAAGCCATTAATGTCACCACACTCCTCTAAATAGTACACCAGAAACTTACAGAGGGCTCTGTTGGCAGCAGGGAGTTACAAATTCTCATAACCACTTGAGTCCCCATCTTCAGAGTCCCTAGAAGAGCCAGATCAGGGTCACCTTGAAATGGGAAAAGGAAAAAATGTGCAAAAATACAGGACAGGAAAAAAACTCCAAAAGCTAAACCAATCTAGTGAGGTCGGGCCCCTGCCTCAAACCTACCAACTTAAGTCATCTAGAAGTATCAGAAATGAGACGCTAGTTAGTAGGAATTCCAACCCAAGATATAATCACAACAAGGCTATCCAGTGGCATTTTCAAAACTGGTCACTTAGGTTTTAATAAAGAGTAATGCTTCCCTATCATTAGTTAAGCAAGGATGTGTTTTCCCTCCTCCCTACATTTATCAGTCTAAGACCATAGGAAGGATTCTGAAGACAATCAGGAGAAATACGGGGAGCTCTTCGTTTGGAACGCACTTCCTTTTATCCTCAGAAATTCAGTTTTAACCTGTAAAGGCAGCATTTATCCCAAGGCAGAAATTTTTATATAGACTTTAAGTTTACAAAGTGCTATCACCTACATCATCTTATTTGACCGTCATAGAACTCTTGAACTAGAGTTCATTTTATTATCCCCAGCTAATAGGAAATAGAGTAGGGAGTTGCTCTGCCAAATAGTGATGGAGGCAGTTTTCTAGCCACCTCTTCTTAATCCACTTGCGCTAGGTCTGTGCCAGAGAACAGGTCGGGAAAATAGTGACAATGACTGCCATGATACAACATTTGACTACAATGTGCTGTTCCAAGTGCTTAAAATTCTCACACTCTGTTGATACTATTATTACCAACTTTTTTGTGTGCTGTGATTCCACTTTCAGTACTCTATCCATCTTAACGATTCATCCCTCTCAGGGACAACCGAGGGGCAGTGGTATTTAGGGAGGATGGTGTCCAGGTTGAGAAAGGGAAGTAAGTGCATTACCACTCCTCGCCAAGCTCTGAAAGTCTGAATCAGGAATCGCACACGAAGAACCTGTAAGACTCCAAGCCCGGTCGGAACTTGAAACTTCCGCCTCTTTCTTCCCACCCCACCCTCGCCCCTCCGCGTGTCCCTAGTTCTGATCTGGACGCTCAACTGGTGCTAATAATACTTGCCAGTTACTCGCCGCCTTTCAGCACTTACCTCTTAAATCATCGGTCGGTCTTGGTTCAAAAATCTCTGTCCCCTGCACTTCTGAGCATGGCCTCCTCCTGCTACAGCGTCGCCGCAGCGTTCCCGCTGCCATGGTGACGCGGAGGCCGGCCACGGCCGGACCCGCCTCCAGCTTGCCGGAGTCAGCCCCTGACGACCCTGCCCCCTGCCGCCGCGGACTCCGCCTTTTGCTGATCCAGACCCCGCCCCCCGCCGGTCCGGACCCGCCTCCTAACAGCCCAGACCACAACTCTCGCTGGCCTTGACTCCTCCCCCCATATGTCCTGACCCGGCCTCTTGCTGGCGGGAGCCGGTCCAGCCTCGTGCCGGCCTGGACCCCGCCTCCTGACTGCCAGGGCCGCGTCCCTTGCCTGTACAGAGGTGCCTCTTACCGGTCTGGAACCCGCCCAGGGAGCTCCGGCTTCTGCTGATGGGAACTCGCCTCCAGTCGGCCCAAACCACACCCCCGCTCCGCCCCAGGCAAGGCCTGCAGAGTGAGGCAGGAAAGCCTGCCTCTTCTTGCTGGACTTCCAAACCGTCCTTAGGCTGGGCGAGACCCACTGCAGTAGCGTAGAGCCCACAAATCCCCGCCCCAGAAAACACACCAGACACGGTTCCACGTGCGATTTATTGATCCTAGCCGCTCCGCACCTGTGAGGGCCAACAGTCCCACCCAGGGGAGTTTCCCGGTCACACAGTGCTGTCAGTCAGTATCAGTGACTTAAAAGTCCTTGTAACCGATGGTCTGAGAATGTTTCCTCCATGCCTCAGCCCCTGCCCTCATTAATCTGTTTAGGTCGGGGACCCTTGACCCAGCCACTGAGGAAACGGCCCAAGCCAGGCCTGGGGGCTGTGTACAAAAGCTCAGGATGCTTTTTCTGTGCACCCCTTCTTCAGCTTTGGAGTTTAAGCTATGTAAAAGGGATACCCTTAGAATAAGTTCAACAAGATCAGCTCAAGTGTTTAAGGGGTAACCTGTTCTTTCTGCACTTAAGAGCGGGGGTAAAGGTAGGGGTCACATATCGACCTTCCTGCATACTCAGCCTATCCCTCATTTTGCGCAACTCCATCCACCCCTAGCTAACCCAAATACAACTCCAATTTAATGGCGGCAAATAAGGGATAGGTCTAGGCGAGAGAGCAAGACAGGAGATACACAATTCCAGCGGCTCTTGAATTCTTTAAGCTTAAAATGTGGCTGCCATCGCTGGGTAATAGATTCTCCCACAGGAGAGTGGTGAAATGATGGAAACTGGTCCTTCCACCCCAAGGCTCACACTAGGGTCCTGTTCTTGCTGTCATAGCAGGGTGTGGCCTGGGGGAAGCAAAGTGTGGCATACTCTGTAGCATTTTGTAACTGCAGGTGCTTCACTTCCTGGGCAGAGCGTGCCTGAGTCCGGCTGCACACTTGAATGTCTGCGTAATGTAAGCTGCTGTCCTCCGACCTAAGGCCTTGATTCCTCTCCTGAGACGCAGGCTCCTTTAACACCCGCTCACGCCTGTGTCCTGTTGAGTCACGGCCCTGCGAGAAATGGACAGCATTAACGGAGATTTTTGGCTTGGTTTGGCCCCTCACCTTCAATGCAGGTTCAGTTAGACTGACATCCCTTCACTTTGCTCCTTTGGGGAGCAGAGGAGGATGGGCAGAACAAACAAGTTCTGCAGATGTGAGATGTGTCTGTTCCAGGGTGAAAAAGCCAAGTCCTGGGACCCCATGGCTGAGCAGCCCACAAGAAGGAACAGAGGCCTATCATTACCTTTGAGCCATGCCGCCGCCGCTGCTGCTGCTGCTGCTGCTGCTGCTGCTGCTGCTGCTGCTGCTGCTGCTTCAGTGTCCATCTTGGTTGACTCCCTGAGATGAGGAAATCCAACTTAAATCCATTCTCTCTTCCCTGTCTCTACTGAGACCTACTGAGGTTATCCTCTTCAAATCTCTAGTGAACTATTATGGTGGGCTTCTAACTAATCTCCCTGCCTCTGTTCTCACCTTTTTCACTTCTGCCATTCCCACATCTAAACTCCTTAGCAGGGTATGCAATCTGGCCCTTTCACAATCTGTGCATAATATCTTCCATGCTCATTTTTCACCAGTCTCTAACACAGTTCAACAAACATATGTTGAGAGCTCATTAGACTCTGTGCTACACTATGGGAATAGAAGAATGAGTAGGCTGTTTCTTCTGCCTCGGAGAGCTTACAGTCTACTAGGGAAAACAGCTCAGACTATTACAGTGCAATATGGTAAGTGCTCAACTACACCCAACAATTGGTCACTTTCTATCAAGTCAGTCGCTTCTCTCTCCTTTCTTCCTTTCTTTTTTTCTGCATGAGATAATTCCTCTGCCTAAAAATAGCCTCTCCTCCCTACTCCTCTTCCAACTTGTGAACTCCTTCCATTCTCCCACAGCATGAGCCTGCATCTATTATAGCTCTAGTGGATGGCATTACAATTTCGTATCTACCTCTCAAACTTGATGTTCTGCTCTGTTAGGGCCTACACAGTGTGTCCTTCCTCTTGTGCCTCTCTGCCTCCTTGGGATTCTGCAGTAGCTCACATACAGTATAAGTGCTCAGTAAATCTTTGCTGGATGAATGGATGAATGAACAACCAACCTTGCCACTCCAAGATAATGGAAAGGATAATACTCAGAGTTTCAGAGCGGGTCTTGAACTCAGTAACCTAAAGATTCTCTTTGATGTTCTATCTCCCTTTACCCCTTCCAAGACTACTCTTTTCCACCCTATGCTTTTCCCAAAGATACTGCTTCTATTATCTTCTCTAATTTGCAACACCCCGCCTCATGCCCCCATCCCCACCCCTGTCCCACTCAAGTCCCTCTGCCTTCCCACAATTACCTGTTTTCTTTTTCCTCTGGAAAATTGATGGGCAGCTCCTGTGAAAGGAAAACCAGATCACCCATGTGTAAAAGCCCTGGCCTCTATCTTCCCTCCATCATTTGTTCTGTAGTCTCCTTAACATTCTGGGATGACCTTCCTTCACCTCCCTCTAACATACAGTCACCCCTAAGCCTGCCCCAAAGCATTTATCAAGGGTACCACACCTCTCCCGAAGGGATGGTTCTGGAAGGCAACATGGTACAACTGACATAACCAAACCCAAAATATAGCATCAAGCACTGCATGCCAGGGATGTAGCTGGGTTGAGAGCTATTCTGGGATTGTCTAACAGGCTAATCCCAGCAGAGGGTGAGGGAAACCTGCCAAATAATGGGATATTCCTGGATTCAGAGACCCTCTTGCTTCTGCTTCGGTGCTTTTTGGGGGGTCTCTGCCACTTAGGAGTCTCATTCTGGGAGTCACAGTAGCTGCCACAACCAGGGCTGACTAGTTAGGATTCCTCAAAGCCCTATCCTAACAGGTGACCTCCCTCCCTGCTTCCCTGTCCTTGTTTTTAATTAACAGAGAAAGTGAGAGATGTTTAACCTTTAAAGTCCACAGCACAGGGAGCTCTGAATTTGGTGAATGACTCAGCTACCAGACCTCTTATACTCATTTCTGAGCCCCTGGGGTCCCCAGTGGAGCCAGTGTGACTCTGTAATTGTCAACTGTTTGATGGCCAGAGAAACGACACTTGTCTGAGGAAATAGGCTAAATAGTTTGAGGCTTACTCCATTGCTTTTTCTTGCGAGTACATTTCCAGCTTTCACCAGAGCCAACCCTATTTGTCTGATTTCTGTCTCCCTAAGGAAATTTCCTTGTTTTGCTACTTAAAAAGAGAGAGAGAGAGGAAAACTTCTAAATCATGTCCATTTCACTACTGTGGAAAAATTAGGATTTTTCTACACAAATCTGACAGTTTTGTGTTTTGCTTTGACTTTTGGTTTTAATGCAACTTGCTGAGTTGAAAGCAGTTAGAATCACCATGAGAACTTTACAGGTGGTTCAGAAGAAAAGCTTTGAAATTACCTCTAGGTCTTTCTACTTTCTCTTCTGCCACCTCACCTCTTCCTTTCTTTTACGGCTGCCTAGTCATAGCCTTAACCTAGCCTCTAATTCCTTGCTCCTTGTCACTATTGTCTTCCTACTTACTTTTACTTAAATGGATAAAGAAAACATTAATTCTAAAATAACATAAGACTTGGGTGACCCAATTTTAATGAACGGAGCCTGTTCCCAAGTTGGATATTGCACAATTCCTGGACACAACCCAAATTGAAATGGTAAAATCACCCGGGGTTAGGTTTTTTTTTTAGCTTAGAATTAAGGAAACTAAATGGGCACTCTCCTATATTGGTAGTAGAGTAAAAATTGGTGCAATCTTTCCAGAACACAATTGGCAATAAGTATAAGAAGCCTTAAACATAAATGTGTGTACCCTCTGATGTAGCAATTCTGTATGTAGCCTAAGACATAATCAGACAGGTGCAAATATGGATGCTCGTAGCATTATTTACAATTGCAAAACAAACAAACAAACAAAAAACACAGGAAATATCCTAAA